CTCAGCAGCATCTTTAAGATGTAGTAATTTCATAAGATCATCGTTCCACCACGAGTTTAACTTTGTTTTAGGTCCGATAACAAAGATCGATTTTTTCACCGGATTATTTAGATCGGATTGAATGCTATCCATATCAGTATCAATACGAAGATTGGAGATATTTTTAAGCAAATGTTTCTTTGCAAGAAAGGTTTTTTCTTTTTGTTGTATATTGTCAATATCCAATATAATGGGTTTATGGTGGCTACCGCCAATGGTTATATTTTGCACTTTCCAGGTAATTTGTGTAAATGAGTTGGTAAAAGTGAGATCCAAGACAGAGCCATTAGATATATTTTGCAAATTTTTATTAAAAGTTGCAGAACCATCATTTATGCATCGAAAGACGGAACTATCGAACAAATTTTTTACGGTCAATCCTCGTACAGTGTCAAAAACATCTCCATATTCTTTGCACCTTGCATTGAAATCTCCAGCAATTATGACATTGGACCTTCCTTCTAATAAAGTAAACAATTTTATCATTTCTGTTTTCAAGTCATTCGATTTGACTGAATGTACAAAATACAATGATACTATGTTGTAATTTGGATATAAATTTGTTGTTTCACAGATTAAAATGTCTAAGTTCGTATTGAAGCTGATTTTTTTTATATGAATATTCTCCTAATGTAAAATGGCTACGCCACCATAGTTATCACTTCTCTTCTTGGTGATAAGCTTGTAATTTTGTATAAATGTGTTGTTCGTATTTTCATCAACATTAAATATTTCACTAAGTGTGCAAATGTCCACAGACCATTTGTGAATGTATATTTCTAGATAGCTTTTATATTTAGTTAGGCTCTGAATATTGTGCTGTAAAATTCTCATTGTTAGGAGAAAATACTGATTTTTCTTCTGTTGTTGCTTTTATGGCAGTTGCAAAACTATTAAGCATATCTAAGCCTTAACTGCAATTTACTTTTGACAAAATAATAGTCATTTGTTGTGTAAATGCCGACAATATTTTTTCGTAGTCAGAAATTTTTGAGAAATTCTTAAAATCAAAAGTTGGTTTGGTGGGAATTAAATGTTCAACATCTGCTGTATCGTTTTGGGACTTCAGTTGCAATTTTGCTATATTTAGTTCTGGTTATTTTTCTATTAAACTCTTCATCTAGAGTCCTGTGCGTTGGTTTGGATACTTTTGAGATGGTTGGGAACTCATTCTCGTATTGTGGATCATCTAAAATGGCGTAATAGTTTGGCGAGTTTTTTTGCACGACCTCCTTTCTAGAGAGATTTGAAATAGCCATAGCCTCATACAGATTTTTTTCTTCCGTATATTTATGACATTTTTTCGCATCCATGGCATTGTGTTTATTATCATTGCATAAGATACAACGAGGAAAGGAACAGAAAATATTACATTTGATAGTTGAGAGACAAAAGTCTCATTTTGACTCTCCGCATTGATTTGGGCAGATTATTTTATTTCCACAGAGAAGACATCGTTTATGGGATCTATATTTGACAGCAATATGTCCTAATCGACCACAATTTTTGCAAAAGCGTATTGGCGGAATATAAAGCTCAGCTTCAACTAATGAGTTGAACATTCTAATTTCTTTCACAACGAAGTCGGCGACAAGACCAATTTTAATAGTTTGTGAGGGGACAAACTGTCCTTTATCGTTTTTGCAATTAAAGCGAAAGATTGAGACAGCTTTAAAATCATTATCACTGTTGTTTATTTGTTCGATAATCATTTTACCATTGAACACGGTAGGCATTGATTTCACCACATAAAATTTTTGCAAGAATCTATCTGGTATGAAAGCATTAAGACCAATATTTTTTAACCTTGGATCCAAAACAAAATTATTCGCAGACTCGCTGTTGTTAAAAGTCAAACGGAAGGTTTTTGTATGATACGTTTTTGGACACAAAATGATATTTGATATTTGCATTGGCAAGTTTTGCGTACAAATGAAGCTCTGAGTTTTTTCTCCTTAAGCTAATTGGCTCATCAGTAGTGACCAGTACAAAAAATAAGGACCAGAATGACGTTTTTGATAAAGAATCTTTGTATTTTCATAGATGTTAAAATTATGGAAATTTGATTCATTGGTGTTAGCAGATTGAGGTACATTGGGTTGAGGTGAGTAGGAGAGGTGCTATTGGTGTTGGAAAAATTTTTATTTGAGCTGATGGTGATGGAGTTGGTGGTATTGGGAAAGGTTGCGTGGGCAGTGGAATTATCATTAGTTTTAGTAGTTGTTTTGCATAATTTTTCATTTGACATAATTTTGTCCTGAGTGTTTTGTACATCCATAAAAGTTGTTGGTGCTGCTGAAGTTTCTGCGACAATATTTTGCTGGGTGTTTTGTATGGATGTAGTAGTTGTTGGTATAACTGATGGAAAAGACACCATTTTGTCCTCTGCTGCATCTAGAATTTGAACATTCTTAAAGTTTTTTCTATCCGGGTTATTCACTGGTAGAAATTTCCTCCGCGTTACAGAACGAGGAGGTGGGTCCTCGTCCTCCCATCCTGTGAGTTTTGAGAAACCTTTTTTTGGCACAAAGTTTTTATTTCCCAATAAATTAAAAAGGAAACAAAATACACAAAGTTCTTGGATTATGTGTTATGTGTGTGTGTTGAATATCAAAACAAAAAAAAAAAACAAAAAACCAAAAGAGAGAAGAAGATAACAAGTTGCGGCCCGCGCGTGTAGTCTAACGTCAACAAGAGCTGAAAAGCGACTGCTTTTGCATATTTAAAATTCTATTTGACACTATAAGACTCCAGCACAGAGTTGCATTTTTCTAGTTTCGATGAAGTTGAGCAACCTTTCTTATCGAGCCATGGCTGCTTTTTCTGTTTTTTTTTTTTTTGATTCCTAACGACAGACCTAAAATTAAACATCATACGTTGAATTCACACAAAAAAAAGCTCCGAGAAAGTTTTATTAAGATGAAGGTTTCAAAATTTTTAACTTGGCCTTTTGATTCTGAGTAATCGCCATCATTTCCCTTCAAAAGGGGAATCGCTTCAAAGTCCAAAAAATGGAATTTTGTGCTTAAATGTTAGTGTTTGAAATATGTAATTTGAAATGCTAATTACGGTTTAATCATTTAGCACAAAAATTTATTTATAAGTTAAAAATTAACTTGTTATTAAAATGTTCACACTGTTCTAAAATTCAGTGTTTTTTCAGTATTGTGTTCATTAGTTCGCGCCTCAATCACAGAAACAATCCATAATCCATGCATTGTGTAAAAAATAACTTTTTTTTCGCACAAAAACAGAATATTTTTCCCGATTTAAACGTCTACATTGATTTCTAATCATATGAAAGAACGAATGAATGAGGAATCAAGACAAACGATTCCTCATTCGTTCGTTCTTTGATTCCTCTAATGTTGCCATTTTTATGCTGCCCTCAGACACACCAACAGTTGGCCCAACTTGTCACTTTTAAGTTGTATGAAAAAGTTGGTCGGTCTCCTCGCACGTACCAACTTTTCGTACAACTGTTGTACCAACTTTTCATTTACAAAGTATTTTTGAAGCGTCAACATGAATAGTATAGTATAGTATATTTTATTTGAGTCTTCTTCTTTTCAGTACAATGATAACATACAAAGCGAATGGTTAACATAATACTTAGAACTATATTCGTCTTGTTCTAACTATAGTGATTGAAGCATTTGCTACATGCGAACGATAACAAAGGGTAAAAAGATAAAAACAATGGTTGTGAGAGAGAGGCTTGCTCATTGCCTCAGCTGTGACGAACAGAGCGATTGTGTCTGCAAACTAATAAATATAGAATCAAAACAAAACTTAAAAAACTAAATAACAAATAGATCTGTTTTAGACAGCGACTAACAGATTTGTATGTGTAAATATCACAGATTTGTTTTAAATAATATGAATTGTTATAAAATCGAATGCTCAGGTAGAGCTCACAATAATTGGTGAGTAAATTGTTGTTACTAAGTTTTTTTTTTAATAATTTCTTATCCTCTGTGGCAACCCTGTATAATTTTTTTTCGTAGAACTGTGGTAGTGTGTATACAGCGGAATCTTCATCGGGTTCATTTATAATTCCTATTGGAGACAAATATGGCGATTCCGACCAGTTCGTGTATTTTTCCAGATCGTGGATTTCATTTAGGAGGAAGTTCTCATGCGTGGCCAGTTTTTCAACAAATCTCTTCTGTTGGTTTTGTGCATACTTACAGAGATGAACAATACTTGATGTATTGTAAATGTAAGTATTTGAGTATCTTTTTTGTTGACTTGAGTAAGATTTGTTGATACATTTTCTTAATATTGTCCGCTCAAGGATTTCCAGTTCTTTGGCTACTATTGGTGAAATGGTAAACCAGACCGGGAACCCATACAATAAAATAGGCCTTATCGCTACTTTATAGAGAAGTAGTTTTGTGTTCTGGGGTAAGTATTTGTTGTTTAAAATGTGTGAGAAATTTCCTAATATTCCTTTTGCCTTTTTTATGATAGATCGTGCGTGCTGGTTGAATTTGAAAAGGTTGGTGAAATGAACCCCCAGATATTTTATTGACGTTTTCAATGGAATTTCAATGTCTTCCAATGTCAACCGTAACAGCTTACTTTCTGGGACTACATATTTTGGACATTTTCCAGAGGCGTTTCGGAAGCAAATTGCTGCTGATTTTGAAGCGTTGATTTGCATACCCCACGTTTTGTAGTAGCTGTTGATAATATTTAAATGGGCTTTTACGCTATTCAGAGCGGTTGTCGGTGAAGCGTCGTGCGAGTAAATCAAGCAATCGTCCGCGTAAAGAATCGATTGCGAATTTTGGCCAATGTGGGGAAAATCGTGCAGAAAAAAGTTAAACATATGTGGCGCCAACACACTTCCTTGAGGTACACCACTCGTTACAAAACCTATTGAGGAAGATATACCATTGATGTGCACCATGAATTTGCGGCAATTGAAGAAACTACGCATCATTTTTATGAGGTATGGATCTATGCCAATTTCAATGAGATTATATAGAATTTCAACATGACATACGGAGTCGAAAGCTTTTGAATATCCAAAGATACAGCAACGGTGCACTTTTGATTTCTTAAATTTGATGTTATGTCGTTGTGGAACTTGAGGAGTGAGTGTAGTGTTGAATGGGCAGGTTTGAATCCAAACTGATTGTTCGGGATTGGATTACTAATTAATTGATTTTCAATTTTTTCTTTCAGGACCGATTCAAGTATTTTTCCAACGTTTGAAAGAAGTGAAATTGGCCTGAAGTCGTCCACCGTGGTGCTATTTGTTTTCTTTTTGATTGGAATAATTTTCGCCAGTTTCCATTGTAAAGAGAAATAGCCGTTGTTTATGCAGTGATTAAATACGCACGTAAAAAATTTTATAATAGAATCAGGAAATTTCTTGATTAAAAAATTTGAAATGCCATCCGGACCACTTGATTTCTTTGGATTTATATTCATAATAATGTTCCTTATCGTTTCAGAAGAGGTGAAGTGGAATCTATCTGGATTGTTTATAGCACAAAATCTATCGTCAAAAGAATAAATGTGCGTTGTGGTGATATTCAAACAGGAATCAACTCGAGAAGTGAGATCGTCGACTGGATTTAAAGGTAACTTTTCTTCAAATAAAGTAGAATAATAAGATTCAAACTTGTTTGCTATTTCAAGGCTGTTTGTAATAAAGTCATTTCCATGTTGCAGTTTTTGACAATATGCTGATTTGTTTTTTCCTGTTATTTGGGAAATTTGCTTGAATGCAGATGGACTGGGTTTAATACTTTTTAACTTTTCATTGAATTTCCTGGCAGACTCTATATTAACTAATTCTTTAATAATAGTTTTTAAAAGTTGGACTTGTTTAGAGAGTATAGAATACTCAAGACTGATTCTGTTTCCCGTCCTATGAAAAATTTTCTTTAATTCTTTCTGCCATTGATGCTTTACTTTAAGGAACTTCTTTATTTGGTCCGAGAGAGGTGGTTTTTTGTCCTTTAATTCGATTTTTTCTGAGTGCATATCATGAATACGATTAAATTCATTGTTAAAATTTCCTATTATGCAATCAATCTCATCATTCGTCAAGTTTCTATTCGTCGGAGGCATTATAGTTTCTGACATTGAGTCCAAGTCATATCGAAAGTTACTCCAGTTTGTGTTTTTATACGAAGAATAACGTCGTGGTTGCCTTAAAATCAAACTTACATTGTCAAGTTTCAACGCCAATTTAAGTGGGAAATGGTCAGAGAAGGTTGGTAGAGAAGATATTTGATAGTTTCGAGTCGTCTGATTTATAAAATGTGAACATACTAGGAAGTGATCCAAATGGGAGGCTCCATTAGGGTAAAATGGTGTTGAGTCACAAAGACGTACAACATCTAGCACGTTGTTGCCTAACCATGTCCGCAAAGCTTTTCCATTTGTGTTTTCACATTGGTCTCCCCATATAGGACTTTTTGCGTTGATATCTCCTCCAAGGATGAAGCCGTCAAAGGAATTGCTTAATTGAAGTAGCTTATTCAAGTCAGATTCAAGCAAGTTTACAGGATAGCTACATGGTACATACAGTGACCCCAACAAGTACCTTTTTGAGCAGTTATTCACAATGGTTTCAATTTCTATTAAAGTTGAATTTATACCAACATTAATTGGGTTTATACGCTTAAAAACAATATTGTTTTTCACTATAACTGCAACTCCCAGAGAAGAATTGTCGTATAAAAATTTGTATCCATAAATCTTTACATATCTTTGTCTTTGGAGATGACATTCCTGTATGAAGGCAACACCAATATTTTCACTATGTAGAATATTTTGTAGTTCAATTCTTCGACTAGTATCAACTAGTGAACGTACGTTGAATGTTAAACATTTAAAGATATTATGGACCATAACTGGTTTTTACTTTAGCTAGGAGCCGTAAAAACTCCTTTTTGGCTTCGTTCTTTGGCATATTCTTGAACTCATTTAAAAAATTTTGAATTTCCTGTTCCAGGGTAAGTTCTTCAGGTTGTAGGAAGATATTGGCCAGTTTCAAGAATTCTCGAATTAACGGCGGTTTTTGAAAGCTTTCCGTGCGATCTGTTGGCATTTTACTGAATAAACTAGAAAAGGCTTTTCCAGGTGAAATTGCCGACATATTAAAAATTTGTTTAACATTTCTTTGTGCGATGTTTTTGTTTTCGGTGGCTTTTGCTATTTTCTGTTTTCTGGCGATGACATATTGTTTATAAATTGGACATCCTTTCCAATTCGCTGGGTGACCATGTTTTTTTGCAATTAATGCAGAAAGGATCTGTTGCGTCAGAGATGGTACGTTGGCACTCACCAGGGAGGTGTTTTTGGTCGCATTTAACGCAGTTGTATGGACTGTTGCAGTTCCGAGCTATATGGCCTAAACCTTGACATCTGCGGCACTGAATTTCACTATCCTTCTTTCTTGGTTTTCCCATGTTATAGCTTGGTTCTGGAGCGTTCTAATATGCTATATTTCTGTAGTATTTTTGCCCAGAAAAAGTGTTACCATGAAAAGTCCAGTATCGACGTTATTTTTAATTGACAATGGCGTTGTGAATTTGGTGACTCTGGCAACAGTATCTGGAACCAGTATGTCTAGTTCCCTTTTTATTTCTTCTGTGTCATATAGTGAGTACAGATTTCGAATTAAGATGGAGGCTTGTTTCATACCCTTAGGTGTAAATGAGTATGATCGTATATTTTTTTCCTTTAATATTGTCATCATGGATGAGTGGGCTTTGAGATCTGAAAAATATAATTTACTTTTAGATCTATTGACATTCTTGATCTTGAAAGATGATTCTGGCAAACTTGTTTTTAGCTTTTCAACCAGATATGATTGATATTGATATTGACATCAAAAATAATAATTGGAGGGCACCACGAAATTTTGGTTTTATGAGCACCATCACAGTCACTCGAATTTTTGGTGTTTTCTACAGGAGCAGACACTCCGATGTCCACATCGGCCAGAGCACCAAGAATTCCATATTTGTTTTGATCTTGTGGATTATGGTTCGTTAATCGTTCATTAAGATCAGTTATGTCGATGTTGATCGGTGATATGGCGCTTTCGATCCTTTGTTTTTTGCGCTCTTTTTGTATATTTATTTTGGCTGGGTTTTGACGCTTATTGTTGTTGTTGTTAAATCCGATTGTAGATGGTCGGATGAAGTTGTTGCTATGATTTCTGAGACATCAAATTCCATGTCTGGCAGACTTTCAGGCATCTCCATTGCAGCTAAATGCAATTGAGGATGCCTATAGGTAGTAAATGGTTTTGAAATACACGAATTATAAATTTTGTTTACACGGTTAAGAAAAATACGTCTGATACGTTGTAGGGTTCGCTAGGTCGCCCGTCAACATGAACTCGGATGCTCTTGCGCTACTGATTATGTTTTGTTTTCGTTTCTCTTCTTGCGCTCAGCGCTCAGCTTATGTATGTGCTGCTTCACCAAAGTCAAGACATAAATAAAGAAAACACTGAAGTTGGTACAACTTGCCCTCGCACGCACCAACTTACGAAATTATCAAAAATTTTTGATATTTCCAACCAACTTCAACCAACTTTCGAAAAAGTTGTACAACTAGCCCTCAGACGCACCAATAGTTGTACCAACTTGTCACAAGTTGGGCCAACTGTTGGTGTGTCTGAGGGCAGCATTACATGCAGGTAATAGAAACGAATTCCGATCGAAAGCAATATTAAGCCCGTATTTTGCTTCTTTAGAAAACAAAACTTTTTTCTGTTTGAAACCCCTTGTAACTTTAAAACACTTTCAAGTAATAAAATCAAATCATTTCGAAATTAATACCACTTTCGATCAGAATTCGTTTCTTGACATGCATGACAATTATGCTGATGACATTCATATTTTGTTTAAAGTAGAATACGGGTTTATAGATGTGTTTCAGTCATCAGTTGATGTTAATATGTTGGTTACTTGGTTGTCCGGTAGCGGCCTCTCAATAAATGTTAAACAAATCTAAAGTTATGTTTTTTGGGAACATACAAGAGGATTCAATAAACGTTTCCTTTTATAGGACACCTATAAGTGATGTAAGCTCGATACGTCTTGGTATGTTTCTTGATTCTGATTTGATGTGCATGTGAATTCTTTAGTACGCAAGGTAAGCTTTATTTTAAAAAAATTGTACGGTTTGGATTTAGTTTTGCCTTTTGAAACAACTGTTGAATAGGGTTATCGATTGTTTTTTTTTTTTGTCATACGTCGTGATCATATATCTCCTTCTGTGAAAAAGTTTTAAATTGCAGAAAACTCTTCTCTTTTGGATCTTTTTAAATTTTCTATGTCTGTAAACAACCGCAAATCATACCACGCTTGACTCCTCTGTTGGAAAAATCCTTTTGTGTAAGAATCACTCGCATTTGTAATAATCTGACACCTAATATTAAGACATTAAATTCTTCCTTAAAATGTTGTTTAACCCGCCAATGGTGACGCTAATTTGACTTTGATTAATGGTGACGCCGGTCTCATGCACCGGGGTTTTCAACTGAAGTTTTTTCGAAACGTATGACTTATAGTTAATATTTTTTTTTATTATTTATCCACTTTGACAATAAAATAAATATATTTAATCATTTTAAGCTCTTTTATTTCAATATTAAAGCTCACAGACATTTTTAAATAGAGCATTAAAAATAACAATGTTTTAGCAATTAATTTTTTAAAATTTAGTCTTTCGACAATAGGAACTTTTATAAAATGAACAAAATTGGTATCCTTCAAAAAAAAAAAAAAAAAAAAAAAAAAAAAAAAAAAAAAAACAAATACATCTTAAAAATTAAATTTCTTCTGGCAAACAGCTGCTGCAATAAGGTACTACGTGTTCAAGACACAAATATTTTTGACATTTTTGGCTCTGGTTCATAATCAATTTCGGATCCGCTATTGAAGAACTTGTTGGTCCGTCCAAATCAAATATTGTTTCTTGTAGAAGATCTTCAAGCTGACGCTGGAAGCTTTCATAAGACGTGCTGTATAAAAATTTATATTCTAAAACACATACATACATACACATGTAAACACACAAGTACACATATATTTACAATAAAAAAGCAACAAATTATAATAAACTTAATAAAAACGAGAATAGTAAAAAAATAATTCTTGATTATTTTACTTACACAAACGGTGACTCACGGTCTCACACACCAGGGTAGAACAAAAATACACGAACTTGTGTTCACTAAGTAGTTTCGTCATGAACTGACGGTGGGGGATGTACTTAGCTACATCTACTCGAAATCGCAACAAAAACGAATAACGGTGAAAAGAGTTATACGAATTTTTTAACACAACCGGTCTCACAGACCAGTGCGTCACCATTGGCGGGTTAACAATGTTCTTAGTTTTCTTGTGTTAATTTCTTTCATTTCCCTTGCATAGCTGGTTCATATAATTATTTAATTGATTTTTTTTTGTTAATTGATTTAATGTTTAATTTCAAATAAGATTTTTAAGTTTAAGAATATAATAAATAGTTTTATAGTAGCCATAGGGTAAGTGTACCAGTAGTCGGCACTTTAGGATTATCGCGTTTTTAATCGCTCACCATTCTGAGTGGAACAGTTCAATTATTATAAAGTTAATTTATTCAGATTCGAAATTTTGCATAGTTTTTGCAATAATAAATAAAGTTTTAATAACTTTTTATTAAATTTCATAAATTTGTAGTTTTATTAGAACAATGCTTTCTTGCCAGTAGTCGGCACCCCTTGCCAATTGTCGGTATGGCATTTTCCAACAGTCGGCATACCAATTTTTTTGTAATAATAATAATAAATTAATTCATTAAAATATAATATTTTTTTTTAGTTGAACTGATTCGACGTCTTTATTGTACTTTTCTTAAGAATATGAATTGTTGAGGACCATCACAGACAAAAATTTAATTTTTATTAAAATAATTCATCTTTTCTTAGCGAAATTGTCCACAAAGATAGCTGACAATTTATTTGAAGTAAACAAAATACATTTAGTTATAAAAGTTTAATTTATTTGGGCTTAAAAATACAAAGTGCCGACTACTGGGACATGCCGAACTTAGGCACACTTACCCTATATAGAAGTTTTTGGAACCGTCCATGGCCCTATAGGCTAGGTTACTGCATTAATTGAAAATAAACAAAAAATAAATGATAAATAATTGCAATTTTTTTTAAACATAAAACACCCTCGGATGCTGAAATTATGGCCCCATTTTGTAAGACTATGTTGCTGATGAATTAAAAAAAATATTTTTTTTTATTAGAAAGCTGTTTTATTTAATTATTTAAATATATGTATATATACGTATATATGTATATATATATTTATATATACATGTATGTGATTGTTATATAAAACACTGAACTACAATATATTTTCCATAATAAAAAACTTACAACATAACTGGGTTTAATACATAAACAAAAGTTTATTATTCTACATGTCCGTATCTAATGTGATGATGAATATAATTATCGGTGTACCTCCTTTATATGTATATGAACTTATAACTACATTTTTGTAGTACTTTTGGGTATGGATATAAAAATTCCCATTCATGTCTTGAATTGCATATAAATACCAGCATTTGAGCATTATTATTGAAAAATATTTGTATGTTTTGCAAAATAAAATTGTATAAGCTGGCCGAAATAGAATGATGGGTATATTGGATGCGATGGTTTCTCTTGTAAATATAAAAAATGAATAAAAAAGTCCATGTATAATGCGACAAAAATGAAGAACACATTTAATATGAAATGATATTAATATGAAATACCAATATTTTGTAAAAATAACTTAAGATATATAAGTCTGAATACATTAATATTTGCACACAAGTTCTTGACTTTAAAAACTATAAAAATACTTATTTTCAGAAATGTTATCGATATATGTTCGATTTGAAATGGAAATTTATGAATCATCTTCAATCGTCAGAAGTTAATTAGCTTTTTACTAGTCACATTCCTTAAGTGTATATTGTATAATTTTATGCTAATGGTATATTTATATAGGGGTCCAATTTGCATATTTTATCTGTAATGGAGTAGTAATGCAAAAAACGCGTTCGCTGCTGTACAGCAAAAACTGCGTTTTTACTTTGATTCCTCCTCTTTTTCCTTGTTTTCTTCAGATATTTCTTTCTCGTTTGTCTAAAAATACAAAATATATATACATTAAAATTCAATTATGTTAGCTACATAATAAATGTGATTTTTATTTAAAAATGTCAGTCGCTTAACAATTGTATAGTAGGATTAAACACAATGACTTACTTTTTCCTTTTCCAACTCCTTTTCGTTTTTATCCACTTCATTTTCTTGTTCTTTTGACTTTTCCATCTCACCTTCCTTGCCCTCTTTGTTTTCTGGTCTAAATGAGGATAAATAAGAACAAATGCGTAAGTACATTATAAATACAAAGAATCAAATTGAAAAAAATAAATGTTAATGCACTTTCATTGAATATCAGTAGCAAATTTTAAATGGCCGTTAAAAATTAAGCTTGCACTTATATTTCTTTGTGTAGTCATCAATGTTCACAATGTAGGCATGCATAACATATTGCAATTTACTATATTTGAATTTCTTTGGTATAAACTTTCTACATTTGTGGTGAACAAAAGATGAACCTTGCATTAGTGTGCAACCCATATGATTATTCACTACCTATCTCATACATTGTTTTGTTTGTTTTGGGATACAAAATACTTTAAATGACGAAATTCTAAGTAGATTATAAAAGTACATGTACAGATTTTCTATCTTTACCTCTATTATCTTTGTAAAAAAAACCTAGGAAGAATATTACAATCGGCATACTAGTTCTGGCATACTGTTTATTGAGAATTAAAAAAAATATGCCTGATGAGCCGCCCACAACGACGAAACCTGACGTAGTGGTAACTGTGTGATAGGATCTGGCTTTCCTTTTCACTGCAAATTTTAGATCGTTAGGTTCGTCGCGAAAAAGAAATAAATAAATCATAAACACTTCGCCTATTAAATTATAAAATTCAGCTGCGTCTGGCTGCATTTTGAGCCGCGGACCACGGTGCAGCCAACTAAAAGTTGTCGTCTCAACGTTCAATGCTATTAACCCCTCTACCTACAGCAGCATACACTGGATTAACTCGAAGGAACAAATCTTCAACCACTTTTCTGACATTACCATTACCCGGAATGTTAGCTCAGTATTCTCTTGGTCCAAGCCGGGATCGATACAATACGTGGTTCTGCTCCGTTTGCCATAATCGAATCCACCACAGATCGATCTCGGTGAGATGCAACGGATGCACATTGACGCCAACTGTGATGGTCTCCGAGGTAAGGACAACGAAATAGTAAGCTTCATGAGCCGGAAGAACATCAAGGTCGCTGTTATCCAGGAGACGAAGCTGAATACCTTAAAACTTCTGATGGATACAACGTATTAACAAAGGGCCGGACTAGAGGTGGAGGTTGAGGATGAGCGTTCCTATTGAACCACTCTGTTCAGTACAGACATATCTCCCCCGAGCTTGACTCTAGTGACCCGTACATAGAATGTATGTGCGTAACGGTCAAGTGTGGAACCGCCAAGTTAGAGGTGCTTAACGTGTACATCCCGCCGTCAAATAGTTACGTCCCACGTTATATGCTCCGCACACTCCACATAACGAAAAATCAGACTTCAGTGGCTTATTTCTAAAAAAGAACATATTATTTCTAAAAAAATAACAAAAAATCAGACTTCAGTCACTTATTTGTAAAAAAGGAACACGTTTTTTCCAAAAAAAAAATTAATAACAGAAAATGTATTTCAGTTGCTTATTTCTACAAAAGGAACATATATCAGCCTTCAGTATTTAGTTGCAATTTTTGTTATAATAATTTAAGAACATTAAACTGTCAACGGCTCTCGGCCCAATACTGTTCCTTTTCTCTGTAATTATATTGTCTGCCAAAGAAAAGGATTTCTGCTGCTGCACTGCTAGCCGGTATTGTGTGCATTTCTAATGCTAGTTGTGACAAATATGGGTAATTGGTTTTGTTATTTTTCCACCAATCCACCAAATTAAAATTTTCTGTCATATCAACCCGTTCAGCGCAATATTTTTCTACTTCGTCTTCAGGCTTATCGAAAATTTGTGTTGCAGAAGATACTTGCATTAAACTTGCAAAAAAGAAAGTGTCATTGTTTTTATTTGAGGTTGTCCGCCTACTTGTTTCCATATCGACTGTACATGCAAGTTCGAAAGTAAAATTCGACAATGAAGTTGGGGAAGGAGTGTTCGGAATTGAATTTGGAACGTAACTGTGTATTCTGGAAAAGCAAAACTCCTTTATTTTATTTATTTCGTTTGGTTGCATATTTATAGCGGGAGGGTATAAGAAAAAAACAACTTTGTGTAGCAAATTTAAATTGGGAATCTATATATCCTCAATGTACTTCGTAATATTTCGTTTTAAAATTAAAATTGCTGACGCATTTTGAAAACTCGGATTACAAAAATTTCTAATTGTGTGTATGGATGGAAGCACGTAGCATAGCGATGGGGAAGAACAAAGTTGCAATTTTTTGAAAACTATTTCAAAATTCTCACAGATTTCCACTAGTGCTGTAACAATTGTTATGTCAATGTGCAACATTCGCAAGCTCTCCTCATTTCTCGTTGGAACATTGTTTATTTCGCCCAATTGTCCATTATCGATTTTAACATTCTATAATGGGAATTCCAACGTGTAGGACACTGACTTTTCAAAGATGTTGGAAGAAGGTGTTGCAAATTTGCCTTTTTGAAATATTTCACCATTTTCTTATACGACTCCAAGACATCTGTAAGTTCTGTGGTGGCGGCGAACGATTTATCCAACACATTGGAGAACAAGTGACTGCTACAGTTCAGGCGAACATTCTGCTCTAAAGACTTAACAATGTTTGTTCCTCTGTCTGTAACAAACTTCACTTTATCGATATTGTTAACACCAAACTCACTAAAAACGTTTTTTAGTTTTTTTCAGAATATTTGAATGTGTGGACCGCTCGAAATCCATTGATTTCATTCCTAACACTAAATCAAAGAATTTGTAGTCTTTTTGGTAGTGAAATGTCACACCCAAATAGTTCCGTTTTATGTAGTTATCCGTCCACATATCGATGGTAGCCGATGCTTTACCGCTGTTTACAATATCATTCATCTCTTCTTTGAGTTCTTGTTTTTTCTCGTTAGCGTAAGTTTTTACTTTTCGGGAAATTGTTGTAGGATCAGATAATAAATCGTCCACAACTACGTGTTCACCATACGTTGCCCCAATCTTTATGAGAAACTTTGTTAACTCAATGAAGCCAGCAGCACTAACAGCAGAAAATGGTCGGCAGTCTTGTGTCACCCAATTTGTACATTTTCTAAAGCGATTACTTTGTCGTTCACTGATACGGATTTTAAGGGTTGCGATTCCTTCAACATTTTGCAGCACCCATGTCGTGTTAAATTTGATGTTTGGCTATTGCTGTACCGCAAGGTTTTATTACAAGTGCGGCAGAAAACAAAGCCAGGTAAAACTGTGCCAACTGATTTTTAAACATGAGTTATGATGTTCCACACAAAACTTCTACCTCTTCGTTTTGTAGATAGCGTGTAGTTTCCATTTGCAACATTTTCGGTTACACTCTCACAATTTCCTTCCATTTCAAATATAGTTCGTCAAAATTACCTGCGCAGGCTTACTTGGATGAATAAACAATGACGCTGAGCGAACTCGATTCAAAGAAAACAATCACGGTTGTGATTGCTCATTTAAATTCATGTGTTCGATCAACTCATGTTGCTGAACACATCGAACCGTCTCCAACACTTATGTTTGATTGGAAGTGATGTGATTCAAACTGAGCGATCGATTCGATCCGATCCGAAAACGGTCAATTCACTCATATCAAACCAAACGGCTGCATCAACAAAAATCATGTAAGAAACCGAGTGTGGTTTAATTTTTGCATACTCGTTGCAGCCCTCTGCTCCACATCAATTCACTTCTGGTATACAATAACCGTCTGGAGCTAGGGGATTCCAATGCCCATCATTAACTATGGCATTCCGTAAATACTAGAGGGGTAGGCGCTGGCTGATATGGCTAGAAGTGGCAGATCCGAAGAGGTGGCGAGTGATTTCAACATACCATTCATAGAGCATCTCAAGAGTGACAGGTCTAAGAGAATGATCCCACGTTGTGTACGATCTCTCCCAGCCGAGGAGGTACCCCCCTCCTCCACAATTTACAATGGAAGATGTAATCAGAAGCGCGTCGCCAGTAGCAAAGACGCTTAGGGCATTACTCCTCCTAGCATAAGTGTTTCGCTGTAGCTGATTATCCACACAGATTGCGGTGGTGTGGTCCTCCAACGTTAGTGCAACGCAGTGGAAAAATATTTAGTCCTGTCAGAACTCCGGCCTTAGAACCGCAACAGGGTGCTTCTCCTCATGACACCTGTCGACCATCCACTTGAGCAGGTCTTACCGTTGCGAAAACATAATAAAAAACTGTCAGTGCAATACCTGCTTGGGTGTTACAAACAGAGCCGTCCATTTCACCATCTGGTGGATATTAAAGGCCTGCACAAGACGAATTGTATGAATTATGCTTTTTATCCCCCATTTTGATTCATGTGTGCCATTGTCTAAAGTTCGATCGTGGCATGGCTGACTCGAATATTTGCATGGTGTTCTCCATAAATGCAGGGTGTCAACGATGACATCGAACCGTGTCATCGTCAAATTGTGTGTCATTTGTGTACGTGTGCTTAAATTGAGAGACAGTGTGTGTGTGTGTTACTTTCGACGGTGAGGGTGTGTTTTTGTGTGCGCTGTAATTTTGAAGTAACAAACACCGCGAAAATATAAAATTGAGTTCAATAACAAAATGTGTATAGACATCAACAAATGAAAAGAAAAAAATGAAATACATTCTGAACAATCCCAATTTATTGGTGATTATCATCAAATTTTGGTCATAAAAAAGAGGTAAATATTGTTTGCCTATTTTCTATCTACATATAGTGTTCTTTTACACCTCAATACCGGAGGCAAACATTTATTAAATTATAATCAAAATAAGAAAAATTTTCAGGGGATTATTGTTTTTTTTTTAATAAGGACTAACATTTTAGATTGTTCGTCAATAACCACGAAATGTGAAAATTTTGTGTGGACCAATTAGAAGTACCTTTAATATTTATATTTATCGCCAAGAAATTCTTTATTACAAAATATTTTTTTTCACATATCGAGAAACCAGGTAGCGATTGCGCTTTGCCTTCATCACGTGTGTGTCTTTTTCGTTGGCAATTGTTTCATAATTGTTGTTGTTTTTTGATAGAACATTTTTGTATGACAC